AGCTAGGTTTCCTCAACTGGAACTAGGATCACAAAACTCTGACCACTTTGGCACCTGGACTTGAGCAAGGAAAGCTCTTGCTCCAGGGATGTTTGGCCTGGGGGCAGAGGGGAGCGCAGAAAACCTTAAAGCTCTTCTTTCAGTCCTCCTTCCCCCTTGGCTTTCCCAGAATTTCACCTCCCCCAGGGTAGCCTCTGCCTAATTCCTTCCCTGCTTCAAAATTCCTCCCTCCCCATTACCACCCCCACCCCAGGCCTTCTAGAGACTGTCAGCCAGGGCACTTTACCCAAGTAAAATATTTAAAAAGATAAGATAGGAAAGATAAGAAGCCTGCTTAGGGAGGCTATCAGAGCTAATCCATTTGCATAAGTACTTGGGGTAGATTAGGTTTAGGGTGGCCTCCCCTGGGAAAGGCCACCCCCACAAGATTCTGTCTTCCCAAGGGAAAAGTCCTATGACAAGAGAGGCCTTTGTGCCACTGTCTCTCCAAATCTGACCAGGCTGGTAAGGGGTGATCTGAAGGGCAGTGGGAGGCTTCTTCTGACTTCTGAGCCCTTCAGAGGAAGGCCTATTCACCTAGCCTGCCTTAAGGCTTACGCTCCTTAACCTAGAAGGGTCCTCAGAGGCCAGGTAGTCCAACCACCCATTTTACATATAAGGAAACTGAGGCCTAGGGATGGAAAGTGGTAGTTCTGAGGCCATAAGATCAGAGAAGATCAGAGAGCTGGAAGAGACCTCAGAGGTAAGGAGTCCAACTGAGACCCTAGAGGTTGAGTGATGTGCTCAAGGAGGTAGTAAGTGCTGGGGGCAGGATATTTACTAAGAAGAGCACTGGACCTGGAGTCTGGGAGACCGGAATTTAAGCCTACCTCAGACAATTACTGATTGTGTGATTCTGGGCAAACCACATAACCTTTCTTATGTCTGTGTTTCCTCGTTTGCAGGGCAGCTAGGTGTTGTCATAGCTCACAGAGCACTCACTGAGTCTGGAGTAAGCAAGACCTGGGTTCAGATCTCAGACTCATACTGGCTGGGTGACCCTGGGTAAGTCACTGAATCCTGTTTGCCTCAGTTTCCTCATCTGTAAAATGAGCTGGAGAAGGAAATGGCAAACCACTCCAGTATCTTTGTCGAGAAAACCTCAAATGGGGTCATGAAGGGACATGACTGAACAACACAATAATAATTCTTCATCTGTAGAAACAAGAGTTGGACCTGATGACTTCTAAGATCCCTTTAAATTCTAAATCTACATTTTTATAATCTTATGACCCAAGTCATCCTAATATAAAGCCAGCGCAATACAGCCACTGAACTTCGAGCTGGAGACACCAGGTCACTTGAATGGCAGGTTGGGTGGGAGAGAAATGATGGACCACAGCAGACTAATGGATGAGGTAGTGATCTCCTAAATCTGGGATTATGTGGTTCTCTTTAATCTGGGAGTATGTGTGTGATGTGTTCTCTCACCTACCCCAATCCCCATGCCCAGCACCTTTAATATAACAGATGTTCAGTTATTGCTTAACTTTCATTTTTGACTGAAGCATGAATTGGATTGAAGAGAGGCAGAGCTGTGCAAAGCCATCAGCCTCACTCTCTCTTCCAGAGTCATTGAAGTCCAGTGGCGAGACAAAAGTCAAGATGACTGGCGATGGCCCAGGATGCAGTGGATGACCTTGGCGTCTTTGATAGCGACCAAGCTCTAAGCTTCAGCTGCCTTCATGGCTGGTGGAACAAATTATTTTCACCCACCATTCATATGGGGGAAGTCTTCCCATGCTTGGGGTAGACAACCCTCTAATTCACCGACAGGTCTGAAGGCCATCGGTTACTCTCAGCCTGGCTTAGTCTGTCTTCTGAGACACCCTGAGACAGGGCGTGGTTGCTGTGCATGCTACAACTTCTTGGAATCACAGGTGAGAGCTGGGGGATAGGTGGACACCAAAGGTGAATGAGCAGCCCTGACAGGGGCTTGGAAAGCCCTCATACCAGAGGTGCTGGTCCTCCTGAATACCCTATACACCCCAGATGTTCAGTAAGTGTTCATCGAATGAATGAACGAACCCACTTGAAGTCACCCAACAGTACGGAACTTAAGAGAACCTCACTTTACTAATACCGAATGCGTCACATTATTTCTGAAGTCAGACATGCCAGGACCTGGGTTGAAAACCTGCCTCTGTGTGGACTTTATAGCTTTGGGATATTCACTTAACTTCCCTAGACCTCTAATAACTGAGGGGTTGGATCCGCACAGTGCCTGACACACAGTAGGTGCTTGATAATGACTGTTGATGGATCAAGGGCCTCTGAAGTCCCTTTTGCTCCATATATAGGGCACTACAATCAAGCAGGAGCAGTGAATTTGGTGAGCACATTTGGGTGACCTTATGTTGGACAGGGTTTTGCCAGTGCTTTCTGATAGAGTCATTAGCCTCTACCCTGGAAGGTTTTCTGCACTTTGTATCACGTTCCTCTTGGCCTGGGAATCTGATCTGATCCACAGAGAAAATTCCTTTCTGAAAACTGTTCTGGGGTTCTGATCTACCCCACGAGAACACTTCCTAGCCTGGAGATGATGTTAGCTGCTTGGCTAGGTTCCAGTGTGTCTGAATATTCCTTCTGCCTTTAATCAACCCCAGGAAAGACTCTGGGCTGGCTTGCATTTCTCATGATTTCTGTTTTCATTCCTCATTAATCTCAGTGGAGCTGATTACATGTGGCCAGCTAGATTGTTCACAATCTGGGTCCTGGGTTAGCCAACAAAGAGGCTTAGGGTTCTCTTTGTGTTGCTATGATAACATGACAGGAAAGAAATTCTGCCCCATTAACAGACCTCTCCAAGGCTGGACTCAGAGTGAATGAATGGACACACCTGGACACTCAGTGACAGCAGAGGCTCAAGCAACCTGAATGCTATTCCAACCCCTGCCCACTGCTTCCAGATGTCCCACCTTGCAGATGGCACAATCAGGCACCTGCTCTAGGCTGCGCCTCTTTCCTCAAGCAGACAAGTGTCTGCTGATCAGAAAAGAGAACGATTCAGCAGCGAGTCCCTCCGACCCCTTTGTATCGTGCACAGGCCTTATTTCAGTACAAATGTCCAACTGTGTTTTCTCTGTGTCCCAGCAGCCTTATTTGTCAGTCATTCTTCTTCTTGTGAGAAGCTCAGGAATGAACAGGCTAGCCATGGGCTGCCCTCTCTGCGGCCTGTTTCTCCTGGTATTTGCTGCTAGGAAGGCGGCCTTTCAGATTGCCTGCTTCCTCTATTGCACACATTTGTGGGGAACCCCAGGAAAGGTTTCGAGTTGGCGAAGAGGGCAGTTTCAAGATTACCCAGTGCTTGGGAAACAAGATGCTCCATTGACCCCATTGTCAGGGATGCCAAAGGAATGCTCGCGTTCTGTAGTCAAGTTCTGAGGTCAAGGTTGGGGTGGGGGATTTAGCTGTGTGTGTGGCAGGGTGGCATTTACACTTCCTGTTTTCTTAAGGCAAGAGGAACTGAATTCTCCAGCTTAGGTCTTCTGAAGAAACAAGAATATTGATAGCAGGCCAAATGTTTTTTTTTAAGCAAAAATACAAAGACTTCAAACAATAAACCTTAAAACTTTTTTTTTCAGAAAATATAATATTAAAGATATAAGCAACAAAAATACCCTTGTTTACTTATGTGGAAAAAAACGGATACTTTTTTGGGTCCCTACTTCCCAAGAAAGGCTGCTCATATGCTCTCTTGGGGTAATAATTCCCATTCTGATAGATCTTTAAGGTTTATAAAGTGCTTCCCAGCCCCCACCCCCCATTCCAATGGCCCTGTGAGTCACGGAGTGAAAGAGGTTTTAGGTTTTTATTGATAGAGATGATGGAGATTGAGGCCCAGAGTGGGGAAGAGTCTCACTTGGAATCATCCCGGAAGATGATCCCCATTAACTTGTTCTTTTCTTTTTTAAAAAGTCTTATTTGGAGCAAACAGATGTCCACTTTCATGAGGGTGGCTCTTAAAAGCTCATCATTGCTAAAGCAGGGGTGGGGAACCTGAGGTCTTGAGGCCACATGTCGCCCTCTAGGTCCTCGAGTAGGGCCTTGGAGCTGTATTCAGTCAAAGGGCCGCACTTGAGGACCTAGAGGGTCATGTGTGGCTTCGAGGCCGCAAGTTCCCCACCCCTGTTCTAGAGTCTTAGGGGGATTTCTGAGTAGAGCTCAGTGTTATAATGAAGAAAAGGGAGAGCTAGCAAGGACTTGGGGCCTCTTTCCCACTTCATGGGTGGATGACAATCTGTGTGGCCAGCCCCATGCGATTTGGGAGACCTGGGCAATTGGGACACACTACTCGCATGCTCTGAGACTCCAAATAACAAGAGCATCAGCCACGTAGAAATGACCGAATGAGTCAACGTGCATGGTCTAAGGCAGGGATTCTTAACCTGGGGGCCACGCACTTCTTTTTAAACGTATTTTGACAACTGTATTCCATATAATTGTAATTTCTTTGTAATGCTGTGTATGTCTGATTCTGAGAAAGGGTCGGCAAGCTTCACCAGCTTACCCGCAGTCCAGAGCACACCATCCCTGGCCTAAGAATACTCCTTTTGTGCCTGGGGCCCAGGTGCCTGCTGGCCAATGGCTTCTACAGAAAGACAGGCCTTTCTGAAAGCCCCTTGGCAGCAGTCTGCAGCCTCGCTCCCACGCTTGGCTGGGAGATTTCCAGGTGTCTCGTAAAGCTTTAGGTGCTCTGGCACAGGACGTGAGATGCTGCTGTTGTCCGGTCTTCTTTTTTCAGTTGTGTCCAACACTTTGTGGCCCCATTTGGGGTTTTCTTGGCAGAGATACTGGAGTGGTTCTCCATTTCCTTCTTCAGGTCATTTCGCAGATGAGGAAACAGAGGCCAACAGGGTTAAGTGACTTGCCCAGAGTCACACAGCTAGCTAGTAATTGTCTATGGCTGGAGTTGAGCTCAAGAAGATGAGTCTTTCTCTTTCCAAGCCCGGTGCTCTATCCACTGTGCCACCTAGCTGCCCGTCATGTGAGATGGCCTAGGGTTAAAACAAATGACTCACAGCCCAAAGCAGCCTTGGAGCTCAGAGCCAAACCAATCACTGCCTTCGTCCAATCTGTTTTTACACAATATTTTATAGGCTTCCCATGAGGGTGCTAAACAGCAGCATCCCTATTTGCAGGGACAGGGAGAAAGCAGAGAGATGAAGAGGTCCCACTGCTGGGCATCCCCCCAGATCCAGCCCCATCCGGCAGGCTGAGAGGGCTGGATGCTGGGGATACAAGGAAAAAACCAAAACACAGCCTCTGGAGGCCTTAGGGAGCGTACATTCTGGGCCGCAGAATCCTTCCCCCCCCCCCCCCGAGACCTCCACTGAACCACACTCATTCATGCCTTTGGTACCCAGCAGGCCAAACTTCTTAAACACACCAAGGAGAGATGGCTAGTAGCACTTGGTCAGTAACGCGTCCCCCTCCAAGCAAACCAAGCCCACCAGCCTTATACTTAGCCCTTCAAAGATTGCCACCATGGGCTAATCGGCCTGGCTGGTACACATTTGCAGGGCCCACCAGGTGCGTGGATGGAGCAGGTGTGATAATGAGGGCTGATGGGAGGCCAGTCATTGTCTGGAAGGAAATGTGCTATTTCTCCAAATAGAAACACCTGTTAGCAGGCTCTCCCTGTATGGGGGGAAGCACCTTACTAAGTAGAAACCAACCTCCAACTAAGTGATGGGGAGAGTGAGAGAGCCCACGGTACCTGCACTGTGGAATCTTTTTCTTTGATTTTCCCCTCTTCTCAGAATATCGAATGTCATGCGGCCGCTGGTCTTCTTTCTAGAAGTAGAAAGGAGGGGTGGGGATGGAGGGCAGAGGAAGGGTGGAGGGCAACAACAAAGCAAACCATTTAGAGGAGCCAGAGACAAACACAGATTGAATCTAGAATCCTTAAATGGAAATAACTTTCAAGAAATAGGGTGGCTATAACAGTTTGTCTGGCCCTGACCTTGTCTGCATACACCCAGAACACTGCCTTCACCTCTGCCCTCCCACCTCCCTCACCAGGCCTGGCCGAGGGACCAGCTGCCGGGATGGCAGCTACAGACCCACCAGCATCTCCCCCACCTCTGCCAAATGCTGCCACACCGCCTCTGCCTCTTCTCCAAGACAGAGGGTGGTGACGAAGTCCTGGACAGCAGGACTGGGAGAACCTAGCAGGGGATGGCTCCAAGAAGCGTCTGCCCAGGATGTGGGGCCAGAGTGGAATGGAACCAATGCGGGGAGGCAGCCTGCCTGCAGCCCCACCTTGAAAAATGTCTTCTCCCCTCCCTCTCAGGTGGACCCCAGTCTTTCCTCCTGACCTTGGGCTGCCCAATGTGCTTGACTGTGGGCCCTCCTCCTGCCCCCCACAATGCACTCTCCAGGGCATCTTCCCAGCACATTCAGAGTCTTCCTCCCCTTCCCGCCCCTGCCTCTCTTGAATGCTTTATTTCATCCACAACTCAAGCTCTGCCTTCTACATCAAGACCTCCCTGATGGTTTCCTGATAGTTCCCCAAATCATCTCACCGTTATTTTGCATATACTTACATGGTGTTGTTGTTGAATCGTTTCAGTCTTATCTGACTCTTTGTGACCTCTTTTGGGTTTTCTTGGCAGAAATACTGGAGTGGTTTGCCATTTCCTTCTCCAGCTCATTTGACAGATGAGGAAACTGAGGCAAACAGGGTGAAGTGATTTGGCCAGGGCCCCCAGAAAGTAAGTGTCTGAGGCTAAATTTGAACTCAGGTCTTCCTAACCCCAGGCCCAGTGCTCCATCTACTATACCACCCAGCTGCCCTACATACTTATACATGCTATATAAATGCTAGTTACTATTATTATTGCATGCTATCTTCCCTGATAGGATGTAAGTTTCCTGAGGGCAGGTACTGTTTCATTGTTATCTTTGTATCCCTGAGTACCTTGCACATAGTAGGTGCTTAATAAGTGCTTACTGATTGATGTTCTCTGCTCTGTCGCTTTCTCACCTTTCCTTCCCATCCTAACACATCTACTCCACACTCCTCTCCCTTTTCCCTCAGGGTTTTGTTGTCTACTGGGAATCTTAATGAAATCACCTGTGCTAATGGATTGGTGAGTATTGATGGGCCAAACTTCCCAGGAAATAAATCTGCATTTTCACAGGGGTCTTTGGGAGAAAATACCTCAGTCCAAAGGAGGTTGGTTGGTTGCTGTCCTTTGTTCTGTAAGAGGACCAAATGACATCACTATGTGGGGTCAAGGTACCATATGTCTGGCTCAGAAGGCTCTACCACAGGTCGGGCACAACTAGTCCATGTGAACATTTGGGGTGGATTCTCTAAATCTGTGCATCTCGCTAAAAATTCCAGGGACAGTAGCAGACTGTTGGGAAGAATATTAAAGGGAGATAAATCTTGCAGAGGGGTAGCAAGGTGGTGCGGTGGATAGAGCACCAGGCTTGGAGCCAGTAAGATCTGAGTTCAAATCCAGACTCAGACACTTACTAGATGTGAAACCCTGGGGAAGTCACTTAACCTCACTATCCCAATCTGCCTCAGTTCCTCATCTGTAAAATGGAGACACACTGGAGAAGGAAATGGCAAACCATTCTAGTATTCTTTGCCAAGAAAACCGGACATGATCTAACAACCCAACAACAAATCTTGCAGCGTTCTTGGATTACAGTGCCTTGATGACAGCACAATCTGTGTGCCTGGATTGTCTATGTGTCCGCCAAGAATGGCTTCAGATGTAGGCCTGGGGTCAGGGACTAGACGATGCGGATTCTGTGATTCTGCATTGCCCATCAATGAGTACATTCTCACTGAGTCCCGCCTAGGGGAGAGTGTGAGCCCATGGTACAGACTGCATGGCAACAAGGGTGGAGGGCCAATATGAAATAAAAGCTTTCAACAAGCATCTGTTACCTTGTTGGGGAGGCTACCCAAGAACATGATGGGATAGTATTCTGGGGGGGGAGTTGCAAGAGAGATGTTACGAAATTCAGCACAACCATGATTGACTTGTTGATAATGTGGAGAAGAAAAAGTCTGGTTTCCTGGGCTTGAGGTCAGATGAGGTTCTTCTAGGAAAAAGAAGAAAGAAATAGTTTCTAAGAAATGAATCCCAAAGGTCAGAAAGAGTATTTCAAGGAAGGAGTGGAGATGTCTTCTTTCTGTAAACTGATGTCTGTTGCCAAGGCAATATGCACTGGAGAAGGACCGATTCATTTTCTACCAACTGGTCTATAATCTTGTCAGCCTGAAGAATGATGTGGCTGTGTGTGAATGCGAGTGTGAGTGTGAGTGTGAGTGTGTGTGTGTCTGATTTTGATTTTGAGGCCATCTGAGTGGGCCAAACTGCCCCTTACAGTTATAGAGGTGAGCATCCTGGGACTATTCTGGAAAACTATCAAAGAGTGAAATTTAGCATGTGGGAGGCAGATCCATGTTTCTTTCTTCTTCTTCTTTATTTTAAATATTTTATTCTTTCCAATTACATGTAAAAACAATTTTTAACATTCAGTTTTTAAAAATTCTGAGTTCCAAATTCTATTCCATCCCTTCCCCACTCCTTAAGAAGGCAAGAAATTTGATATGGATTGTAAATGTGTAGTAATGCAAAACATATTTCCATTTTAGTCAAGTAAAAGAAAACATAGACAAAAAAACCAAGAAAAATTTAAAAAGTGAAAAAAGTATGCTTTGATCTGCCTTCAGACTTTATCAGTTCTTTCTCTGAAGGTGGATAGCATTTTTCATCAGGAGTCCTTCGGAATTGTCTTGGATCATTGTATTGCTAAGAATAGCCAAGTCATTCATGGTTGTACAGTATTCTCTTGGTTCTGCTCACTTCACTTTGCATCAGTTCGTATTAGTCTTTCCAGGTTTTTCTGAAACCATACTGCTCATCATTTCTTACAGCACAATAGTATTTCATTACAACCATATCCTACAACTTGTTGACATTCTCCAATTGATGGGCAGCTCCTCAATTTCCAATTCTTTGCCACCACAAAAGAGTATATTTTTGTATATATAAGTCCTTTTCCTTTGTTTTTTTAAAATCTCTTTTGGATACAGCCCTAGAGGTAATATTGCTGGGTCAAAGGATATGCAAATTTTTGTAGCCTTTTGGGCAAAATTATAAATTGCTCTCCAGAATGACTGAACCAAGTTACAACTCCACCAACAGCACATTAGTATCCCAATTTTCCCACATCCTCTTCAACATTGTCATTTTCCTTTTCTGTCATATTAACCAATCTGATAGGTGTGAGGTGGTACCTCAGAGTTTTTTAATTTGCATTTTTCTCTGATCAATACAGATTTAATGCAGTTTTTCATATGACTATAGATAGCTTTGATTCCTTTGTCTGAAAACTTCTTTTGGCCATTTATCCATACCTTTAACCATTTGACCATGTCTTTTGACCGTTTATCAATTGGGGAATGACTCATATTCTTATAAAAGTGAATCAGTTCTCTATGTACTTGAGAATTTAGGCCTTTATCAGAGAAATTTGCTGTAAAATTTTTTATCATAGTTATGATTACTGTCTTTCCCTCCATCCCATTTGTCTCCTGTTTGTCCTCTTTCTCTCTCCTTTCACTCTGTCCCTCTTTAAAAATGTTTGTTTTTGACCACTGCCTCCCCCAATCTGCCCTCCCTTCTATCACCCCACTTTCTCTTATCCTCTTCCCCTCCTACTTCCTGTAGAGTAAGGTAAATTCTATACCCAAGTGAGTATATATGTTATTCCTTCTACAAGCCAATTCTGATGAGAGCAAGATTCAGTCACATCCCCTTCCTCCCCTATCTTCCCCTCCACTGTACAAAACTCTTTTGGTGCCTCTTTTCTGTGAGATAATTTGCCCCATTCTACCTATCCCTTCCCCCTTCTCCCATGCATCTCTCTTTCTCACTCCTTGATGTTATTTTTTATATCATCCCATCATTGTCAACTCACACCTGTGCTCTCTATTTATACTCCTTTTAACTGCCCTAAAAATGATAAAGTTCTTAGGAGTTATAAGTATTATCTTACCAAGGCAGGAAAGTAAAAAATTAACCTTATTGAATCCCTTATGATTTCTCTCTCATGTTTACCTTTTTATGCTTTTTTTGACTCTTGTATTTTGAAAGTCAGATTTTCCATTCAGCTCTGGTCTTCATCAGGAATGCTTGAAATTTCTCTATTTCATTAAATATCCATTCCCCCCTAAAGAATTATATTCAGTTTTGCTGGGTAGGTGATTCTTGGTTGTAATCCTAACTCCTTTGCCCTCTGGAATATCATATTCCAAGCTCTCCACTCCTTTAGTGTAGAAGCTGCTAAATCTTGTGTGATCCTGACTGTGGCTCCACCATAGTTGAATTGTTTCTTTCTGGCTGCTTGAAATATTTTCTACTTGACCTGGAAGTGCTAGAATTTGGCTATAATATTCCAGGGAGTTTTGATTTTGGGATTGGTGGATTCTTTCAATTTCTATTTTACCCTTTGGTTCTAGGATATCAGTACAGTGTCTTTGACAATTTATTAAAATATGATGTCTAGACTCTTTATTCTTCTTTTTTTTTTGGGGGGGGGTCTGTTAGTTTTCGGTTCTTCCAAGGCAGTATTGTCTAAGGAGAGATGTGGTCACTGCTCTCCTGGCTTAAGGGCTGTGGTCTGTGAATGACCATAAGCACTCTTTCCCACTCTGGAACTGTTACCAGGATCCCATTCCCCTGAAGCTGCATGCTATAGTGTGGTAGTGCTCCTCCTTGCCCTGGGACTGTGACACAGAACCATGTATAAGCAGTGCAACAGAGTCCTGCCTCCAGTGCCAGCAAAGGGTCCCTTGTAATCTCCTTCTGACTAGTTGTCCAACCCCCTTACTGTCTGTGAGCCTAGAGTTCTGGAAGTCACTTTTGCTGATTCAGTCACTTCCAAGGCAGATGCAGGCAAAAGCTGCTCAAGACTGTGCATTCTCACCCCAGTGAGACAGACCTTTCCTGCTGACCTTCTAAGTTGCATTGAACTGGAAAGTTGTTTCACCTGGTCCTTTTATTGGTTCTACAAGTCCACAATTCATTTTGAGGTATTATTTTAAAGTTATTTGGAGGAGAAATTGGGAGAGCTCTGGTCTCCCATCTTATTCTGTTATCTTGGCTTCCATACCCATGTTTTAATAAATAAGCATTTATTAAATGATTATTATTTTCTGGGACTATGTGAAACACTGAGGACACAAAGAAAAAGAGAAAATAGGCCCTGCCCTCAAGGAGCTTATATTCTAATGGAGGAGATAAGGATGAATCATATATATTATATTTATATATACACATATATCACATGTGTGTATATACATACATACATACATATACATATGTATAAAATAGGGTTCAACATGTATGAATCAGAACACACAACATAGACAGTAGAAGGAAGGTAAAGAGCATCTGGTTGTACAAAAACTGAAAGGATCACATCATAAAATAATTTCTTTCAGGGCTGACCTTAGCAAGGTGAGAAGCTACAGCACAGTACACTTCTAGGGGAAGCAGGCTGAGCGCCTTGCCCTTAAACATCTTTTCTACTTCCTATCAGTTGCCCACAATTCCACCATCACAGATCTAAGTCTCTGTGATATTAGGGGTCCAAACAGCCTTCTGCTTATTTCTTCCTTTCCCTCGGGTCCAGGATTCCTTCTGGGTGGTCATACAGAGAAGAGAGCTGTTGTTGCTACTGGACATTTCTTCTTTCATTACTGAAGTCCTAAGAATTCCCTATTCCATGAATCATTTCAAGTTCTAAGTGGTTACATATGAAGGGTTGGTAGCCATGTGGGAGAAAAGGTTATGTGACTTACCTACAGGTATACAGTACATGTCAAAGGTGAGACTGACCACAGGTTTTCCTGACTCCAAGTCCAGCACTCTGACCTCTATAACAGGCTTCTTTGTCTATAGGAAATCCCCATTACCATAGTAAGAATTAAATGAGAACTAGCTGGGAACAAGACTTCACCAGGATGGCCTCCAGAATAGGGGGTAACAGAGAGAGAGAGGGAGGAAAGGGTTTTTGAAGGGAGAAGAGCACTAAAAGGGTGGGTGGGAGAGTTTCAAAGAAATTCCATAATTTTACAGAAAAGTAGACGTTTAGCTGAAGATAGTTCTCAGCTGATCCCCCAGGGTTTTCTAATGCATGAGTAACTCCATCATTCTGAGCCAGCCTGCCACACAGTAAGGAATGCTTCTTTACTTCAAGATGGAGACCAGTAGGGACAGGGACCTCCTTCTCCAATCATAAGCACGGTTGATCATGTTTTAAGTAGTAGCAATGATGTTAACAAATCTTAATTACAATGAACTTTGATTTAGGAAACACTGCCAAAACAATTTGAATTTTGATTAGTGTGTTCTGATTCCAGTCCGGTCAGGTCTCAGGAAGGACTTAATGTGCTCACTCAAACTTCTTGAGAGCAAAGGGTGAGAGAAGGAAAGAGTGCTGGGTCATTCCTTATTTTCAGTCTGTCTACACTAGCAAGAGAATGACCAGGGTAACATTTCCCAAAGCAAAATCTACTTTTATTACAGGCATACTGATGAGGTTTTGACTCTGAGTGGTGTAATTTCTGTCTAGAAAATTGTTCCTACATCTCTCAAGGAAGAGATGAAAAACAAGGGATCCTGCAGCATTTTTTTCTCCTCTTTAATCCATTCTGCACACCATGGGTACACCAATTTCCCCAGAATACTACCTTTATCCTAACAACCTTCTGCTTGAAAATACTAAAATATTCACTGTCTTCTGTCTTAATAACTTAAAACTCTTTGCCTGGTTTCTAAGGCTCTCCAGAATCTGTTGCCACTCTCTCTCTACAAACGAATTTCTCACTAATTTCTACAATACAAATTAGCCCTCCCCCACCTTGTTACAGGAGGTCAATGGTTCCCATTTAGTGGCTCATGAACCCTTTTGTTGTTCTGACTATGGTACAAAGGGCTTATAATAATAAATCTTTAATGGCACCTTAAGCAGTAAATAATTGTCCAATCATGTTACAAATGTATTTTCCCTTTGTGACAACAGGCATGTGC